ATAAGACACCCTTCAATTTTTAGGGTAAGGATTTTAGAAAAAAGTATCGTCTTATACTTGGAAAAATATGGTAGATTCTCTGTCTTGAGACACAAAAGTTCTTTCCAAATCAATTGAATAACTTGAATTGATACAATTTTTTTTTGTTCTTTAATACAAAAAACTAGATTCTATAGGAGATAAAGTATATACAAAGATAGATAAGCAAATTATGTGAACATCTCCCCCCAGTCCCCTGAACTAACTAAAAGAAAGGAAAACATATTTAATCTTAATATAATCAGCCATATTTTCAGGGGGCTGTGGTGTTTGTGGTGGGGGAAGGGGAAAAAGAATGATGTTGGCTTCTACTCCAGTTCTAGAGTATTTTCAGTGTGGAGGACAAGATCCTCTTCACAGGCACAAAATACACTTGCGTACACAGATTACCTTAAAGGAAAAAAACTGTTTTTCAAGAAGTGGTTTCAGAACAACATCTATTAACAGGGTAGTCCCTGTGGTCTTAATTTTGGAAGAAAGCTTCATAAAATCTGATAGGGATATGGCATGGAGATTAAATTAACATTATGAATATGAACATTATAGGAAACATAGACCATTGTTAACAGCAATTTTCAATTTTACAAAATTATGCCATAAATCAGTATTCTGTAGATATACTAAGGATAGCTAAACAACATTCTGCTTCGCTCACAAAGATAATGTACCATAAAGAAGTTTGATGATTGCTTGCAGACATACACCAAAATTGATAAAGTTATGAGCCCTCTGTTCATGCCAGTAGTTTCCCCTCTCTTACATGTTGCTCGGTGCAGAAGGGGGATTTGGTGCAGTTTCTTCTGGTTCATTGCAATCTCTCCATTGATGGATTGGTAGAAATGTTTCTGATTCGAATGAAATTGGAGATTCTGCTTATAGTGTTGTTGTTATATTATTTTTTTATTTAAATTTATTGGCTGCCCAACTCCAGGGGACTCTGGCAACCCTGGGATCTGATCCAGATTGTTTGGGGCCCAGCTCACAATAGGGGTCACACATTGGCTCTGGTCTTTGCCTCAGGGCATTCACATTTTGTGAGATGGGCAGCTATATAAATATGAATAAATAAATAAACATCTGTACCCCTTTCAGTCAGGATTCAGACCTGGATATGGCATTGGTTGCACTTAGATGATCTCTGGCGGGAGCAGGATGACAGTTGTGCATTCATCCTAGCTCTGCTTGACCTCTCAGCAGCCTTCAAAACCATTGACCATGATATCCTTCTGGATTGGCTCTGGGTATTGGGAGTGGGTGGCACAATATTGTGCTGGTTCTCCTCCTTTCTCCAGGGTGAATACCAATCAGTGGTGATTGGGGAGGAGAGATCCCACCCTCGGTCCCCACTGTGTGGGGTGTCACAGGGTTCAGTGCTCTTTTCACTCCTCTTTACCATCTACATGAAGCCTCTGGGTGAGCTCATCCATCACTATGGGGTGAGGTATCATCAGTATGCTGATGATACCTGTCCCTGGCAAATTAAGCAATGCTGTTGATGTCCTATCCCGGTGCCTGGAGGCGATGGGGGTCTGGATGGGGAACAACAGTCTTCAACTGAACCCTGGCAAGACTGAGTGGCTCTGGGTTTTTGGGCCTGCCAATTCTGAGACTATGACATCTTTGGTACTGGAAGGGGTTGCACTGCCCCAAACAGACCTAGTGCACAACTTGGGAGTCTTCTGGGACTCCAAACTCCTGTTCGAGAAGCAGTTGTGGCTAGGAGAGTCTTTGCACAACTTCAGGTGGTATGCCAGTTGCACCCTTTCCTGGACTGGGAGGCTCTGCTCCTGGTCACTCATGCTCTGGTCACGTCCCAGCTGGACTACTGTGATGCGTTCTATATGGGCCTGCCCTTGAAGAGTATCTGAAAGCTTCAGCACCGGCAGTTAAGAATGTGGCAGCAATGGCAGTTATATGTGCTCCTAGAGCGGCACGCATTACACCACTGCTCCACAAGCAGCATTGGTTGCCAGTTGGCTTCTGGGTCCAATTCAAGGTGCTGGTTTTGACCTTTAAAGCCCTTCATGGCATGGGGTCAGATTATTTGAGGGACTGCCTCTTCCTGAATACATCTGCCCGTTCCATCAGGTCCAACAGAAAAGAGGTATGTTGCGGGTCCTGTCCGTTAAGGAGTTACATCTGGCAGGACCCAGGAGACAAGCCTTTTCTGCATGGCACCCATCCTCAGGAACATCATCCCCCCTGAGGTGAGATTGGCCCCATCTCTCCCAACCTTCCAGAAGTCCCTTAAAATCTTGTTGTGTCAACAGATCCGGGGGTCACAAGGAATGGTAATTTGATTAGGTGGCTCCATTGTTTATAATCTGCACTCTCTTAGCCTTTTATAATATTTTTTTGTACTTTTTGAATGTTTTTAAAATTATTTTTATGGTTGTTTGTACACCTCCCAGAGTTACAGTATGTGAGATGGGCAGCCATGTAAATATGATCAATCAATAAATAAACATGATATGGTGTTAGGGGATGTTGACATCAGTCCTTTGACATGGACAAATCACTGTCTCCTAGCTGTGAAGTCCACTTTAGCTGCCCCCACTGCAGGGAGGAAAGGTCTACTGAATTGGTCCTCCCCAGGTGACAGATAAACCTAATGGGATTCCAGAGGAACTTGGGTTGTTGTCGAAACTCTGTTGCATGATATAACTGAGACCTTAGTCACTGACTGGAATGAGCAGGCAACACCAGCCTTGGATCAGATCATGCCTGTATGGACCCTCTGAGGTGAGGGTCCTATAGAGCTATTTGTTTTCAGAGTCACTCTGGAGATGAAGTGACAGAAGAGATGCCTAAGGTGCTGCTAGAGGAAGAGAAAAGAGTGAATCTGACTGAGCACAAGTAAGAACTTTATTTACCTG